AATTGTATATGTAGTAGGAAAATATCACTTCACTGTGAAGTGAAACGGTTTACAAGTAGGCTAAAGTTAATTGTTTGAAAATGGATACAGCTGTATCTTTTATTGATTGAATGAATTTAATGTTTGTACTTGGATACTAAAATAGTGAGAAACTGCTTATGAAAAATGACTGACGAAATAAAGGCTACGAGTGAGTCATTACCATTAATGATGACAGAATACTTGTATACATGCAATTGACACTGATTTACATTTCAAAATATACAGCCACATAAAAAAAATCCGAGAAAGCACTGAACTATTTAATGTAAAAATCATGATTTCATAAGAAATCTTTAACCAAAACTACCGGGGAATATTCTACTAATTGTCTCATATTTTAAAAACGTAGGATTAGGACTTAATGAATTATAACTGGAATATGGATGTCATGGTACAGCCGATGGTGAATAGTCTGCCCTCCTCAAATTGCTCTCATATGACCACATGTATACAGCCACTGTCAGAGAATTCCTAACGTGGCGGGGGTGTCGGTTACGAAACGAAGAGGACGCAGAGTGAATGTCCGACGCTCTAACCGAGTTGGTGAATACGGAGGATCCACATAACGTGGTTGGCAAACCCTGATTCCAAATCAATGGGCTCCAGGAACCTGAGGAGAAAAAGGCGTGCGAACCCATTTTTGGTTACCGGCTACCAAGGAACTGCATCTCCTAAAGTCACTCCACTGTATTAAGGACTAGACCTTTAGGTCAAAGACTCGGGGTGTGGCCCAATAAAAGAACCACCTGCTTCGGTCTGGGCACCCGGGCAGTACCACAACCCTCACACACATCAACGGCAATTGCTACTGGGCTCATTGTCATTGTGTGGCGCATACGTACTTGATGTCCCCTTGTACCAATGTTTGTGTTTAAATAAATAAATAGCATTATTAGGTTCGAACACATTCTGGTGGATGACATTGAGGAACTATCACGGGTATTATACCTAATGATCTAAGCATACAGTGGCTTTTGGTAGCGACCGATACATACTTGTTTGAATGAGTGATCATAGGGGTTAACTTTATATTTTGGTGAATGTATACCAACTTAATTTTCATATAAAAAACAGGCACAGAGTGAGGATTCGAGTGATACATTGAATGATGTACTATTACGAATGTTTGAACGTCCGGGTAAAGAGCTCTTATTGAAGGTAATGTAAACCAGTGTTTCTGTGACCACAATGTCTAGACTATCATATTTGTAGATTAGTCAGTTTTACTAGAATCCAGCATTACTACAATGCTGTTATGAAATATACAGCAAATACATACAAATTATACTGCTAGCAACTATAAAGGTGCATATGAAGCAAAACATCTAATTATAATCTATGTCAGTGAAATTTTCGGTGGTTTGTATTATGACCAGATCCATTATAACAGTTGAATTAGAAACCGGTTGTCCAGTGGTTAAGTGTTTGCGCAGCCCTGCATTCGAATCCCGCGTGCGGGACCGTAGATGCGCACTGCTGAGTCCCTTGATACCGTATAAGTTACAATTCTTCAAGAAAGCCTGGTGAAGAGGAAAGGGAACCATAATTTGTAAAAATTCAAATCAAATCATCGAACCCCCAAAAACAAGTTTTGCGCGTGACCCCCATTTCATTATCGATTATGACACAGATTTCTATTCAGGAAATAAACTGAAACTGGAACTGACCAAACGAATATAACTTTCTGCTATGGCGATTTTCTGTTAAATTCGATGAAAAGAATGCTAAACGGCAGACAAATGCTATGAAGTAATAATACCAATTTATTGAGATTTAGATGGTGGTTGGAGGTATTAAAAAGGACTTGACACACATGACATTGATCACCACCCAGTGATCAATCAATTGTGATTACATCTCAGTCCTACAGGAGGTTAGTCACGGCTCGGATAGCTCAGTGGTAACGTCTCTGACTGTGAAGCTGGGTGACACGAGATCGAATCCGCCAGGGAGCATCAGTTCCCTCAAGATTACAGGTACACCTTGCTGACGAGTGCCAAGTAGCACGAAACCCGGGTCCAGAGTTTCCTGTTGACTACCTCCAACCACCATCTAAATCTCAATACATAGTGCCCGCAGTGTCGAGTCACCTAGACTGTTGGCCACATTGCAACATGATCGATAGCATTCGATCTGCACTAATAAGGACTAGACAAGCATGACACTGATCACCACCCAGTGATCAGTCAATTGTGAATACCAATTTATGGCTACTCACAAGACCATACCTAACTGGAGACCCCGAATGGTTAGAAGAGACAAGGCCACTAGTCAAAGGATTTCTAGGTAATAAAGTGACACGTTTATATACAGATAAACATAAAATGAACACCGTAAAGTGTCATAGCATTTAAAATGAATTAGCTCGTAGGTCGTTCATTCTCTAATCAATTAAGACCTGACTTTTAGGCCTAATTTTCAGGTATCGTAATGCTACGACAAAACCTCCCTAAATGTGGGGTGCTACACTTATTGGTTATTTTCTGAGATGAGAATAGAGACCAGGAAATACTAGGCTGTCAGTCAGTAACAACGCAGAACTTCGTACGTGCATACATCAGTCCGAGTTGCCACACCACATTAGCACAGAGATGCAATTGTCGATTCTCCGAATGTCGTCCCAGAGAATTCCACGTCGTGCATTATTTGCCGACTCTGGGACTGGTTGGAAGAAGCGGAGAGGTGGTCAGCGCATGACATGGTGTCGTGGCATGAAAGAAAGCTGCAAAGGACTGGCTTGTGTTGGTCCTTCACGACTCCCTGGTTGGGGTCTGAGAGATGGTGGTACACAGTGGCTAGAGACGTTATCAGATATGGCTCAGAATAGAAGCCAGTGGCGATCCTGCTGTAACCTTCTTTTACTTTCTTCATAAAAAGTGGTTCTGTCTCCCTTACCTGAAAGATTTCTTCCGATTGTACCTTTGCGTTCCCTGATTACTAGCACATTACCTTACACCAATCTCTTCGTTATTGTTCTCTCTTTTTTTGTTGCGCTCCTTAGCTTTTTCTTTCTTTCTTTGTATTCCTCTCGAATTTTCATTGTTTTGTGTGGCGCATATATATTGGCGCTCTCTTGTACTAATATTCATGTGTCCAAATAAATAAATAAGAGTATAAGCAGTAATCGGGAAGATTAGGGTGTGATGTTATTTAAAGAGTATAATCCAGTGAAATAAATTTGGAAAGAGGAAAAAAGGGACATGAAGAATTCAGAAGATTAGAATTTGGGAAAACACAGAGAGTGGATGCACCTGCGCCATTGCAAACGATTTTGAGCCATGTCATTCAGGGTCTCTAACCATCGGTTGCAACCCTAGGCTAAATTGAGATTCTTTTCCTCGATACCTTTTTAACTACAATGATAAGTAAGCCCATGAACTGAATTTAGAGACATGAACTGGCCATCTACGGTGCCAACCTGAAATGATTTGTAAGCTTGTTTTGAAAATATATAGATTGATTTATTTCTCCTACAAATGACTATCTAAGCAATTTCATAAACACGTGAAAAACATGAGTTTATGCGTCAAATAATTATATTATTCCTATCAGTACAAACCTATAGTGGTTAAACATACCAATGTTTCCTTCGTAGCTCACTTCTTATGAACGACTACATAACTACTGTATAGACGAATTTCACCATGATTTGATGAAGCCAATTAACTGTTAGATGCTTAACCAAGCACGAAACAAGTTATGTTAATCGGAGTAATTAAACTTAATCATATTTATCTTGTAAACTTGAAAGTTACCAATCTCAGGGTAGCTTGGTGATCTAGAGCGAGTGCAAGTACTTTGTGATGAGACAATTCTCAGTTTATGATAATGACTCAATAGCTCCGCCCACAGCTGACGAAACTTTTGAAGTTCTGAAACACGTATTGTTAAGATAGTATCACAAAGGATCTGAATTTATCGGCAGAGCTGATTTATTTTTCGAACGAATAACAGAGAACTCAGATGAAAATAATAAACGGAAGATTTGCTGCAAACACACCGAATATGGAAAGTTACTGACTACCTCGAGTTTTAATTAAGGTTTTTGTCTAAAGTACCAAGGTTTGTGAACGAATCCAGATAACGCATAGAAAACTTACTAATAAGACAATGATTTAGTTTATGGATGGTTTTATTTTCTATTTTTACTGTCCCGCATATTCATTATATGATCTAAGAGTGACGGCACACAACTGTCTAACCTGCTCCAGCGACGACAACAGCCAAAACCCACTGAGAAGGATATCACACTTCTGTACCTCACTTTGACATATTACTATTGCAGGCATTGAAATATTCAAAAGACTTAGAGACAACGACAGCCAATCTAAAATATGTGTATAGAAAGCTCAGCGAGAAATTTATAACCGAATGAAATACCCATTGAATAAAGAACTGGCACCATAATAACTAGAAACATCAGTTCAGGTAAAATGCATTGCACCTAAGAGCCGAGGGTCAAGCTGCGAAACGCCTGAAAAAATGAAGGAGTCAGTATTTCCCCTTTTAAAAACTACCGACTGAGCACAAAACTTTTACCTATGGTGTCCGAAGTTTAAATTCCCATACCGAGCCAAAAGTGGAGCACACACGAACCTTAAAGCACCAATATTGAGACTGAGCAGGACCTGGTAACAGAATGATAACTTCGTGAAAGAATCTACCAACATTTTAACTTGTCAGACAAACTTTGTAGCACTGTGTCAAATACTTAATACAACCTACGCAAGTCACGAAACATTGGTTAAATTTTTAATTTTCGTGGGAAGACATATTATGTACACGTTAGTTTTATTAATTAAATGACAGTCGTTTTTCGTTTAAGAACTCGTTTTGTATATATCTTACGGAAAGCTTTCTTGGGTGGACTCGCGGAATAAATTTATGCAGAAAACTGTTATACCACTGCAAACTTACATTAACAGAACAAATTAATATCCACCAACATATATTATCATTCAAACTTCTTTAGCAATTTTGTTAAGATATCCAGCATATTCAACAAATATGTGTTTTGTTTTTGGAACCACGTCCCACAAATCAGGTGTTAGATACTCATAGGTAGCTCGTATGGCTGCGTACGTTGCTTTAGCTGGAGGTTGAGTTTAGTTACATGGCAATAAATGAACTTACCGAAATTTCCCAAGGTTGAGGTCTGACCCCGAGCACTTGTGTACACATCATCGATACCAGCCATTTGAAGGAGTTTTTTGGGAACTGGAGCACCAACAATACCTGTCCCACGAGGGGCTGGGATCAAACGTACTGACACAGAACCACATTTTCCAGTCACTTTACATGGAACAGTGTGTGGTTTTCCAATCTGATTACCCCAGTACCCTTTCCTTACAGGAATTATTGACAGCTTTGCCTGAATTATAGCACCTCTAATAGCTGTAGCGACCTCCTTAGCACATTTAACTCCTAGCCCAACGTGACAGTTATGGTCTCCCATTGCAATAATTGCTTTAAAACGGGTTCTCTGACCAGCACAAGTCTGCTTTTGAACTGGCATGATTTTGAGGACTTCATCCTTTAAACTTGAACCCAATATGGTATCTACAATTTCACACTCCTTAATTGGGAGACTGAACATGTAAATTTCTTCTAATGTAGTGATTTTCCTGTCGAATACCAGACGTCCCAACTGGGTAACAGGCTTCCATTCTTTTGTTGCAACTCCACGACCACGACCTCGTCCACGCCCTCGTCCACGTCCCCTTCCTCTAGCTCCAAACGAACCACGAAAACCACCGCGACCTCCACCAGACGATTCCATCTAATAGTGCGATCCCCACGCTCGAAGCTCTTGAAAAGTGCGCGCGTCAGAGGTCTCCAATCCAGAATGCAACATAAAACAAAATGCATTGAATCAGACTTTGCACAATAGTAGTATATTTTAATTGCTCGGAGAGCATAAACAGGAAGAAAAGAATCAAAAATACTTGAATGTACATTTGTTCAACAAGCGCGAATATGTTAGTTTGCTTTTCTGAATTTTTCGTCAATATGTTAATGTACGGTTCCAGGACTTTGTAGCGTCTGGTGGGAACAGTCTAGAGAACCAAATGCCATAGTTTCAATGAATTCGTTAGTTATTTAAGAGTTGAGTTACCTTGGTTTCAGTTCAATGCACATCTCCAAAATCGGGAGGGTTGCTACACTCAACAGCTATTTTGTCAAAAATATATATTTATAGTCCGTAGAAGTGGAGAGAAATAAAAAGTAAAAATGCGAATCAATAAATCAAGCGATCAGCTGAATCAAAAAGTGGGAGTCAGCGGACGAATAAGAGTGACGACTGGAGAAATAGAGAGAACTGTTTAATCATGATGATAACAATAATAGTAATTATTGTCATAGATAACTAGTAAGACATGTCCAAACGTTTTTTCAGTCACTCGACAAGCCTTGTGTGTTTACGTGATTGTCAGGACGCTTTTTAACATGAAAAAGGATGAGAGTAACAGTGATGCAAAATTAGATTTTGACTTGTTTACTCCTATTGTGCATATGTCTTCAGTTTAATCACCTTTACTACTCATTGCAGGTTAGAGGAGTATTCCCGAACAAGGTGTTTATCAGCTAAAGATATCTCTGTCGCATGAATTTAAAACTTGGGTAGATTGTATGATTATGGATGATGTAATTATCCCAAAGTTTGTTGTGACTAAGAAACTACAATAAACAAATTTCAGAAAGCTGTATGATAGTCGTGGTTATCACAGTGTCGTGTCGCCCACTGGGTCGGAAAAGTCGTTCGTTGACTTCGTGACCAAATGTAAGATGAGAGAGGTAAAATGCCTGCTGTTAATCAGTAGGATTTTTTTACCATTGATCCTCACAGTTCATATCGTAGCCTACCATAATAACCAGTCAGTGTGTCCGCCTAAAGACCCAAACCAACGTCCTACTTTAGGATCGACTAAGTGAAGAGACTCAAACTGTTTTACTCAAGATGCATCTAAAAACTTAAATGAAGCGGACAATTTAACGAACTGGGTTGGAATTCAGAACAAATCTATATCTTCTACCATGATGTTTATAGCCGATTTTCAGTACGTAATGCTCAGTATAGCCACAACTGGTAAGGTTTTAAAGTACCTCGGGTATTCGGGGTTTATCAACCCCTTAACACGTAACACCTTTATAATCAAAGTATACCAACCCAGCCAAATTAAATTCAGAAATGAAGGGTTTCGAAGGTATACTTGGAAAGTTATTGATACGTTATGAAGCATTTGGTATAAGCTGGCTGACAATTGCAAGAAACGTGCAGCATGATGTGCACACCCATCATCTGCTGCGGATCTGTAGCTGAGCGCCTTCGGCTGGGATGTGTCCAGTTAAACTGTTGAGGTCAGCATCAATGTGAAGGACTAACAGAACTATTTGTTTTGGAGTTTTACACCTCCAGAGTTTCCTGAAAACAACTATGTAATTCAGTAATGCACTTGAAATTGTGTATTTGTGTGCTACTCTCTGTGATAGTTTTATGGTACCACATATTATCGAGATAAAAGGAGGATGATGTCAGTCAAGATGAGTTCAGTAACCTTTAAGTATTTGAATGTAATTGCGTACAGTGCTATAAATGCTGCCGATATCTAATTTCTGGACTGCATGAAAGGCATAGTGGATTAACGGGATATGAATACAAATGTAAGGTATTGTTTGTCTAACTGATAGTGAAATTAATGGTCATCGTTCGCGAAATCCAATTTTATTTGAAGCTCTATCATGAGTCATGTAAATGGTCAAGAAATATATATTGGTTATACACAGCTCTGACGGTACTGCTAATAGTAATGATAGTGGATTCCATGTGAGTGCTTGTCTTGTGACGCAGTTGGGTGCTTTCCTCAATGTGTATCCTATCCACTTTCAGCGCTTCCTTCTAATTTCTTCCTCCGCTGGGACCTGGTTTGTTCTTTCCCACAGTACGTTGTTGCTAATAGTGTCCAGCCAACGGATCCGAAGTATTTTGCGTAGACAACTGTTAATAAACACCCGTATCTTCTGGATGATGGCTTTCGTTGTTCTCCAGGTTTCCGCCCCATACAATAGAACTGTCTTGACATTTGTATTGAAAATTCTGACCTTGGTGTTGGTTGACAGTTGCTGTGAGTTCCAGATGTTCTTCAGTTGTAAATATGCTGCTCTTGTTTTGTCGATACTCGCTTTCACATCTGCATCAGACCCACCATGTTCATCAATGATGCTGCCCAAATATGTAAAAGTTTTTACATCTTCCTAATCTTCTCCGTCAAATGTGACTGAATTGGTGTATGCTGTGTTGTATCGTAGAATCTTGCTTTTCCCTTTGTGTATATTGAGACCTACTGCTGCTGAGGCTGCTGCTACATTAGTCGTTTTCTCCTGCGTTTGTTGTTGCGACTGCGATGGGAGGGCCAGGTCATCTGCGAAGTCTAGGTCGTCCAGCTGCATCCTAGATGTCCAATGTATCCTGCGTTTCCCTTCAGATGTTGACATCATCATGATCCAGTCGATCACTAGGAGAAAGAGAAAGGGTGAGAGTAAGTAACCTTGCCTGACACCGTTCTTTACCTCGAACGAGTGTGTCAATTGTCCTCCATACATGATTTTGCAGTGTAATCCATCATAGGAATTCTGTATGATATTGACTATCTTCTGAGACACGCCGTAGTGTCAAAGAAGCTTCCATAGTGTTGTTCTGTCCACGCTATCAAATGCTTTTTCGTAGTCAATGAAGTCGATGTAGAATGATGAGTTCCATTCAATTGATTGTTCCACAATGGTCCGAAGAGTTGCGATTTGGTCTGTACACGATCTATCCTTACGGAATCCTGCCTGTTGGTCACGAAGTTGGGCGTCTACGGAGTCCTTCATCCTGTTTTACAATACCCTGTTGAAGACTTCTCCCGGTATTGAGAGAAGAGTGATGCCCCTGTAGTTATCACATTTACTGAGATCGCCTTTTTTGGTATCTTGATCAGGTGTCTTTCTTTCTAGTCTGTTGGTACTTGTTCCTCATCCCAAATCTTATTGAAGAGAATGCGGAGTATCCCTACAGTTGCCGCTACGTCTGCTTTTAGTGCCTCTGCTGGAATGTTGTCTGATCCCTCTGCTGTGTCACTCTTGATTTGTCTGATGGCCATGCTGATTTCGTCAATCGTTGGTGGGCCAACCTCGATTGGGAGGTCCGTGGGTGCTGATTCGATGTTAGGTGGGTTCAGTGGGACTGGTCGATTCAAGAGTTCTTTGAAGTGTTCTACCCACCTGTTTCATTGTTCTTCAATGTTGGTGATTACCTCACCTTCCTTGCTTTTCACTAGTCGTTCTGGTTTGCGGTGATTTCCAGATAGTTTCTTTGTCGTGTCATACAGTTGTCTCATGCTTCCTTCTCTTGCAGCCTTCTCCGTCGCCGATGCTAAGTCTTCCACATATTTACGTTTGTCAGTTCTGATGCTCCTCTTCACTTGTTTGTTTACTTCTGTGTATTCAGCTTGTGCCTTGGCTTTTTCTGCTCTTGTTCGACTGGTATTGATTGCTGCTTTCTTGTTTCTCCTTTCTTGAATCTTATCCAGTGTATAAACAGTGTTCCATTCCTTGTGATGGTGCTTCTTGTGGCCCAGGACCTCATGACATGTTGAAGTGATTGCCTCTTTGATCCCTTTCCAGTTGCTCTCCACAGTAGTTCCTTCTCCATTGAGTAGATCATGAGAGGCCTGGAACTTGTTGCTGAGGACTATCTTGAATTTGTTGAGTTTGTTAGTATCCTGAAGAAAGGCCGTATTGAACTTTTGTGATATTGTCCGCCCCGTTGTCCAGTGCTTCTTGAGTTTCAATTTCATCTTGGCGACCAGCAAGTGATGATATATTGTTACATCAGCTCCTCTTTGAGTTCTCACGTCGTCTATAGTCCTCCTGAACGTTTTGTTGATGCAAATATAGTCGATTAGTTTTTGCTTAGTGTGATCCGGTGAAGTCCATGTGATTTAGTGAATGCGCTTATGTGGGAATATAGTGCCACCTATGACCAGTTTATTGAGGGCACATAGGCTTGCAAATCTCTCATCATTTTCGTTCCTTCCTCCCAGTCCGTGTCGTCTCATGATGTCTTCATATCCAGTGTTATCCGTTCCAACCTTGGCATTGAAATCTCCCATCAGAATGGTCAGGTCCTTTGTTGGGCACTTCTCGACGATTGACTGCAGCCTACCGTAGAATTGATCTTTAGCGTCTTCATTGTAATCGTTGGTAGGCGCATAGAATTGGATGACGTTCATTGCAGTGCCTTCTTTCTTTGTTTTGAAGGAGGCTTTGATGATCCTTGGTCCATGAGACTCCCACCCTATAAGTACATTTTGTGCTTGTTTGGACAGCATCAATCCAACTCCTTGTGTATGTGGGGCATTTTCTTCATCATGGTCGGAGTAAAACAGAAGCTCCTCTGAAGCTAGTCGTTGTTGTCCAACTTGCGTCCAATGTGTTTCACTGATCCAAAGTACCTCCAGGTTGTATCTCCTCATTTCTGCAGCAATTTGGAAGGCTCTCCCAGTGTCCCACATTGTACGAACATTCCATGTGCCTAAATAAGTGGTTGCTCTGCTTGTCAGAAGGGGCATCGGCCTCGTGACTTTCGAAGGAACTCCGCTTTCATCATGAGGCGTCACAGTTCTTCTAAAAGAAGACCTTCGGACTCCTAGGGCAGAGTTTAGAAGGTTTGAATAGATTTTTCTAGTTAGCGCTTTTTTATCTAGTTTTCTACCAGATAGGGTCGCCAACCCCATGCCC